AGGTCAGAGGTCATAAGCTGCTAATGGGCTCACAATAGCTTCTTTGTGCTCAACGTGCTAGATGACAGTTGGCCTTTAATTAACATGGCAGCACATAGAGAATTTTTAAAAACGGTCAAATTGTAAAGAGGCGAATAAATTATGATATAAAGGGGCTGTTGGGTCATTTGTCACTATGTTGAAACGGGCCACTGGGGGTAGAAAGTAGAAAGTAGCAATGTTCATCTATGTCTCTGCCTTTCTACATATGACGGATGTAAATAAGGTTGTGATGTGCCAAGAGGGAAGATGTGTGACTGGGGTAAAGCGGCGGCTCAGGGACACCCCCATAACCCTCCCCTCAAGGGCCGGATCCCAGACGGCTCTCAAATCACCAACGGGAGGGTGGGAGAGGACCATGGGAGGGGAGGGAGGGAGCCTGAGTCTCGGAGCGGGGACTGGAGGCGTCGGGGTCATGAGTCTCGCAGCGGGGACTGGGGGCGTCGGGGTCATGAGTCTCGGAGCGGGGATTGGGGGCGTCGGGGTCATGAGTCTCGGAGCCTGGACTGGGGGCGTCGGGGTCATGAGTCTCGGAGCGGGGACTGGGGGCGTCGGGGTCATGAGTCTCGGAGCGGGCACTGGGGGCGTCGGGGTCATGAGTCTCGGAGCGGGGACTGGGGGCGTCGGGGTCATGAGTCAGGGCTGAGAGTCTCGGGGCCGGTACTGGCGGGGTCGGAGCAGCGAGTCGGGGAACAGGAACGGGAGATCGCTGCGGCGGCCCAGCGGGAACGGGAGATTGCTGCGGCCCAGCGCGAACGGGAGAGCCGGATCCCAGACGGCTCTCAAATCACCAACGGGAGGGTGGGAGAGGACCATGGGAGGGGAGGGAGGGAGCCTGAGTCTCGGAGCGGGGACTGGAGGCGTCGGGGTCATGAGTCTCGGAGCGGGGACTGGGGGCGTCGGGTTCATGAGTCTCGGAGCGGGGATTGGGGGCGTCGGGCTCAAAAGTCTCGCAGCCTGGAAAGGGGGCGTCGGGGTCTGAAATCTCGGAGCGGGGATGGGGGCCGTCAGGGTTCTTGAAGTCTCGGAGCGGGGACGGGGGGCGTAGGGGTCATGAGTCTGGGAGCGGGGACTGGGGGCGTCGGGGTCATGAGTCTGGGCTGAGAGTCTCGGGGCCAGTACTGGCGGGGTCGGAGCAGCGAGTCGGGGAACAGGAACGGGAGATCGCTGCGGCGGCCCAGCGGGAACGGGAGATTGCTGCGGCCCAGCGGGAACGGGAGATTGCTGCGGCCCAGCGGGAACGGGATATCGCTGCGGCCCAGCGGGAACGGGAGATCGCTGCGGCCCAGCGGGGAAACCGGTGCGCTGCGGCCCAGCGTGGAGGGAGTAGGTGGCCTGGAGCTTGGCCGCGAGGTCCATCACTCGATCCCACCCGCGTGGTGGCCGGTGGATGGCGAGAGCGTCGACCCGAGCGCCTTCTGGGGACTCTGGGAGAGCCGACGGAGTAGGCCAGGAAGCCAGCAGGGAATCCGGGGAGAGCATTCTCCCCATGCCGAGCAGCCAGTTGTATGCTGCGTGGCCAGCCGAAAGCCAGACTGGTTCTCCGGAACTCCTCCCGGGGAAAAAACTCCTTTCTAGGTCGCGTCATTCTGTCGGGGATGCGTGGGAATGCAGGACTCAAACACAGAGTTTGCAGGAAATAAAAAGGACTTTAATAGTCAAAAACTCCAACAGAGTAACAGGCCAACGGGAAAAAACACACACAAGTACCGGGGGAAAAAAAGCAGGCAGGAACGAGGAACATCCAGGACAACAAACAATGACGCGACAGACAAGTGACAGACACACACAGCTTAAATACACTAGGGAGGTGCAGGTGATTGAAAACAGGTGGAAACAGACAATCACAGACGATGACAGGACAAGGCAGGAAGTTACTCAGGGAGACAAGAAGCAGAAAACCACAAAATAAGACAGGAAATAAAACCACACCGTGACAAAGAAGTGTGAATGAAACTATTTTCCTCCTTCTTATGCGTCAGTGGTATCTTTAATGGATAGGGATCATATCATAGATATGAATATATAAAAGATATAGACTTTTGATTCACAGTTGAACATTGGTGTGAGGTAAAAACGGTAGCGGGAGAAAGCCTGAACCTCAGGGCAGATTTAACACTTGTACCTGGTTGAGCTGTAGCTATCTAGAGGATTGTGCTTTAATGATTGTATGGTTCCACTGTTTTCACTGTTTATGATGTGTTAATACATGGTGACATAAATCGTAAATGGACTGTACTTGTATAGTACTTGTATTTTGACGACTTAAAGTGCTTTAACACTACATGACATCATTCACTCATTCATCACTGATGACAGGAGCTCCCACACACAGCCACCTGCCCATCAATAACTACCATTCACACACTGCAGTCGCAGCTACAGGAGCCATGTTGGGGTTAAGTGTCTTGCCCAAGGACACACCGGCATGCCGGTTACCTGGGCCTGGGATTACATTACGTTATAAAAGCAGACATAAAAGTAACTTAAAAGTCACTTTCCAAAGTAACTAATTACTTTTGATACACAGTAGTACTGGTAAGTAATTCAATTACCTTTAAAAGAAGTAACTAGTAACTGTAACTAAATACTCATTTTCAGTAACTTGCCCAACACTGCTGAACAGAAGACTGTTTAAGTCCTTCCATTCGTCCTAGGGAGCAGGGGTTGTTGTGAGCAAAGGGTCTGCGGTGTAGATGTCTTTGTAATGTGTGTGTTCTGAATGGGAGACTACAGAAGCTTTCTTCGAGGTGCATCACATTGTCTTCACACTCAATAATCGCCACCTGCAATGGAAACCAGCGTGAGGAAACACAAATGGTCGACCAATCCCACAATTTAAACATAATTTCCTGTAGGAAGCCATTACATTGATGTTTCATGCTTACTTCAATTTATACTACAACGTAGTACTACACTATATGACTGGTAGTGTATACCAAGTCTCGTATATTACAGCAGAAGGAATTTATAGGCCAAAATCAAGGTGAATGATAATTATGCCCAATAACTAAGCATATTTGAAAATGAAGTGATTTGAAAAGATGAAACTCTCCTTCCTCCTACTGTAGTCTAATATTGGCAGTAGTCCTTCTGCACACAGTATGGGAAGCGCCTAGAAACCTACCTGTGTGGATTTGAAAATCCAGCATGCTCAACACCACTGTGGCCGTTACCATGGCGATGGGAAGAAAGGAAAACACACCTACCTAGGGTTGTTGGATGTAGAAATGAATGTGCAGGGGAAAAAGACTCTAGTCTCCACCTATTATACGCATCATCATTTGCATCACACAACGGGGTCCCCTCCATTTGTTGGCCTATGTGTCCCTATTTTCAATGCCAGCAGAGGGATTGCGTACATTTCACTTATGCTCAGCTCCAACAAGTGTACAAACAAAGACTGGTGTGTTTTTGTGTTGGTACTGTATGTGTGCAGCGGCACTGGTATTGATCTGGATGTGGACGGGGCTTTCTGCTCTTTCATCAACATTAAATCAGTACCTTGCAGTTCGGCAGCTGCTGAGGTGTCATGTAGCAGCATATAAGCCAAAGTAGATCCAACAAGATGTTGATGGTTGCGGTTGTGGGTTATATTAAGGCTTCTAATTTGAACTGATTTCTAATTAGTTTGTTTTAGGGCGCAAGGCAGCGATTGGGAAAGAGGTGATTGTCAGTAGAATTATTGTAATTTTCTCTATGAGTAATCATCTTGTGTAGAGAGCAATGGTCTATGTCTTGTTAGGGGTAACACATGTAAATGACATACGCCACGAAAAGCCTTTTCTTTACCAAAGTACTATTTTTTTCTGATTTTGATTGATTATTGCTGGTTAATGTTTCGAATTTGGTTTAGATGTTTAGACGTTGTTACGTCTTATCTGATCATGTTACACATTGATACTATAGTGTGGTTGTGTAGGTTTGTTTGTGTGTTTGTGTGTGTGTGTACTTGTGTTTGTTTGTTTTTGACTATTTTCAAGTGTTTTGTGATTTGTACTATTTCACCTGACACTTTCAAACATTAAATACAAATATTTATTAAAAAATAGGATTTAATCAGCAAATATGCTTTTTGAAAAGTTTCATTCTAAAAGTAAATATAAATACTTGGGACAAATTCAATGGAGAATAAAGATTCCTCGTGAATAGAACAAATTGTTGTTCGCCATCTGCCAAAATCTCACAACCTACCTCCTGTTAAAACACTAGCCAGTGGATCAGAGCTGTTTGCAATATTTGTTTTTTAGCTCTTTCTTTTGGATTTATTTATCTGAGAGTGTCACGGGAGTCGTAGAAATGAGGGATGTGCGGCGAGAATGAGCGTCTAAGGCTAACAAAGACAGATGGTGCATGCAGCAGAGGTACAAAGGGGAGGATTCTGGAGGAGGAGAAAACATGGAATGAAGCGTTGAGGAGAGCGAGGAGACAGACACAGTGGAGGAGATGCTCAGTGGGCGGGAGGGGAGGAAAAAAGCAGTATGAAAGAAGACATCAGTAATCTCCCAAGCTGCGAACAGAGAGGCCGTGCCGGCTCTTGCTCTCTCTTTTTATGTCCGTCTATCAGCATCGCTTATCTCATTGACAAAGCGTGTGGTGTCCTGAAAGATGGGCCTGGGCCCCAAGCCAGCGTGCTGAGCCTGAGAGGAGCACAGAGTCATTGATATGGGGGATTATCTTTTATTATGGTCATGCCTCACTTTACACCAACCCTACCTCACATCACAGTACTGGCACTGCTAACACACGCACACACACACACACACACACACACAACACACACACACACAAACACATACATACATAAGTACTTCACGTGTCCTACCCTTTCGAGCCAGTGTGATCAGACTTGTGTGGCTGAAAAGCCCATCTCACACCTCAGACACCCTCTAAGATAGGCGTTATTGGTGGGTAAAAGATGCCTTAGAGACTCACCCCTTCTCCACTATTTCACCTGACAGGAGGAGCCATATGTAATGTTCAAGAAGTCGGACAAGCCGCTGTATGGGAACGACCGCTTCGAGGGCTACTGCATAGACCTGCTGAAAGAGCTGGCCAACATCCTGGGCTTCACTTATGAGGTCCGCCTGGTAGAAGATGGGAGATACGGTGCCCAGGATGAGAACACAGGCCAGTGGAATGGCATTGTCAAGGAGCTAATGGACCATGTGAGTCTTTTAATATAATTTCATTTATAGTAAAGACATAAAAACATTAATGGGATTTATTGATCTTTATAACACGTGTTGACATCCACCCACACAATTGCTGGAAGCGGGGACCAATTTACTGCATTTTTGCAGAGCAACTATAGTAATTCATGCCTTTACATGCGTGTTAGTCTATATTTACAAATGGTAATACAACATTCAATACATTTTATTTCACGCAAGTGAGAACAAGTCAATTACCTAGTTATTTCAGTTTAATACATGTGTTCAAGACAAATAAGAGGAACATTTGAGTTACATCACAGAACTCACTTTACTTTAGATAAATACAAATAAAAAATTGTTAATAACTCTAAACCCAAACAACAATGGAAATATTATCAACAGTGAAACATTAAAGCTGCGTCACACTCTAGTTTATTAACTGGGTCAATATCACCATAAAGTGCCTTTGAGACTTGCCCATTTCCAAAAAAAAGCAGAAATTTTCCATTGAACTTCATATTTATTTTTTAAGTAGATCTGATGCTGTTAGAAATGCATGTTGGTCAAGCTCCAACACTTTTTATAAATTAACTGCAAGCAGACAATGTATAAGCAAACAGAAAAATATGTCCACCCTGTCATGGACAAATTCAAAGCAAAGTAAATACATAGTGATTATAAAATGTACATTTTCAGAAAGCTATTGGGTCCCTTTCTCAACGGTATATTTTAATTAATGGGAAAAGTATTTGGATAATAATGAAATAATGGCAAACTATTTGTTTCTTTATAAAATCTGCAATAGTTGCACTTTCTTTTCTAAATAAAATCTAACAACAAAGCTATCTGGTCAAACTTTAAAAAAAAAACAGTTTGGCCCTCATTTGTTTATAAAGGAATCACACAAAAGGTTTTGCTAACTTGTGAAAATAATTTGTTTATTTTCTTAAAACATGAAAATGACAGGGTGGACCTCATGAATGCAATACATCTAAAGGAAATTATGGAGAAAAAGAGTGTGCTTTTCCCATGTAGGGGAAAATTTACCAGTTGAACAGACTGGTTTTGATGTGGACACTGAATAAATATTCCACAAATGAGCCATTAATTTGGCAAATATGGTGGTAAACTGTGTACATCATTTTGCACAGTGAGTCAAACATTCAACTGTAGAACAAGAAGAAGAAAAGAGAAAATAAAAGAAAAATCTCTTTGTTTTAGAATTTTCATATTCACTTCTAATGTCTCCAATCAGGGACATGTGGAAAAGAAGAGATCTTTTGATGGGTGGATTCACTTTTTGAAGTCCCAACAAAGAACTGACTTTTGCACGTGGTGATTTGGACGCACTTTATGTCTTGCTCCTATGGAACCTCATCTTATATTTCTTAGATTTGGTTTTCTCTTTTGCGAGCTGTGCCTCCAATATTTGAATCTGTTTTTTCCAGCCTGATCTCCAAAACCTGTTCGTAAAAATGTATACGAAAATCTTGAACATACAAATTCGTAGTGATACATACGAAATAAATACGGACTGCAACTGATGACGTCACCCTATTCAAAGTGAATGGGGACCTGCACCCCGTAAACACACTGTGAAGTCTAACGATGTAAAATAAACGTGTTATGATTGCATTTTTAACGAGAAATCAATGTTAACTTGTAAGAATAGAATACTAACCCTAACCCCCTCAAAAAATCCAACATGGCGGAGAGACGTTCACTCAAGAATCCGACATGGTCCGCCATGTTGTTCACTCGAGGAGCGTGGTTAACCCGGGCAGTTCGTATGTATTGTTACGAATTTGTATGTTCAAGATTTTCGTATACATTTTTACGAACAGGTTTTGGAGATCACGTTGTTTTTTTCAGTTTCCTCTTCGAACTCCTTTGAATGCTTTCCCCTTGACGCCGTTGCCTAAAACACAAAATATTTGTAAGGATTTTCAGTATGATTTTAGCAAATTAATTATCGATGTGTCATTTTATCAGTACATAAACAGTTGATAATTGTCCTTGAAATAAATCTAAACTTTTGAATAAGTCATCAGCTAAACTTCCAATGATCTAACCTGCAGGCCTCTGGCTGAGGGGAGGTTGCGCCTCTGACTGTAAGCATGTCTGAAAGCAATGTCCCTGTTTCTGGCTCTCGCTTGTCTTTTTCCCTCTATCCATTCCTTTCTTTTTGCCCTGTTCTCTCTCTCACCGGGCTCAATGACACCCTTCTTATCCATAATCTCTCTGTCTTTATTCCATTTGTCCCTCTCTTTCTAAAGGTAATTTCTTCTTCTATCCCGGTCAGCATCACAACCTTCCCTATATCTCCTTGCTATCTCAGCTCCTTTTGAGCTCATTCCTTTCTAAAAGACAATTCAAAATGTTCCCTTACACTTTTTAATTGGCTGTTAAAGTGTTGTAATATACATATTACAACGGCTATTACACACAATTATCAGCATGTGGCATAAACTATGTGCATGTCCTCCCTGTCACGAACCATGTCCACCGTGTCATAGAAGGCTTGCTTACAGGGTGGACATTTTTGGCCAATTTTAGCATTTAATGAGCATTTAATGACAGGGTGGACAGCAATTTCAGGGACACATGTAAAATGTTCAATATGATTATGAAAATATAATATACATGATCAAAATGATTTGTTGTGGACAATATAACTATATATTTTTTTAAATTTAGTCTCATTTAACCATTTATTACACATACTGTAGTAAGCAGAGCAGTGTGTGGGACATGCCAAAATCACGTACATCTAATGAAAAAAAACGGTATAAAACGAAGGAAACACATTTTAAGAGAATAATGATTGTACTGATATGTGTGTAAATGTTTGGTCATTTATAATAAAACCTCAGAGTTTCATTATTTTGCTACATTTTCATGATTCTGACACCGAAGGAACCTTATGGTGATATTGACTCAAGTCTTTTGAATTTGAATCATTCATCAATGAAAACGATAAAGAGAAAGAACACCGTGAAAGAGGGCATCCCATGAGCTTCTGGCTGGTATCCTTAGTGTCTTATTACCATGTAATACAATTCCTGGAAAGTTCTATGACATCTAGATTAAACCCATTTACAAGTCACAAGTTACACTTCAGTCGTCAGGATAATCACGCCTTTAAAGGGGGAAGGGTCAGTTGATAAAGAGTGTGCGCAAATTAACCCAATAATTGAAGTCGGGCTATCTTGGTTCCTCAACAACTTAACCGCATTCAAACAATCTTGTTCATTTGAACCAGACGTCAGTCGTCAGGATAATCGCGAATCCATAAAATAACCAGGTAAATAACCTCAAAGAAGCAGCCTTTTTTTCTCTGCTGACGAGGGGAAAGATAATCTTAAACGCATATGAAGAAATTCAAGACCATAATATGTATTGTTGTAATCATTTCTGTCTTCTTAATTGGACGTTTTGTACATCTTTTTGCTGTTTATTTTGTACACATGACAACCTCTTGCTTTTATTTTGATTGTGAAAGAACAAGGCATTCCGATGTAAAATCATATGAGAATCCAATGGAGATAATTACAAAATACTGTAGATTACAGGAGAAGCTAAAAAAATGCACTCTCATTAGGATTTGGAATCAATTATTGGACAAAAATGTATTAGTTACAGATGTAGATTTGTAAGCAGTTGACCTGCAGTATGCTCTGTTGTCTGTTTTTCAGATGTGCCAAGTTGTAAATGTTATTTTGGCAATTTATATAACTTGGCAAAATATAACTTTTATATTTTTGTAAACTGTAAAATGTTTGGTTGAAAAATAAAAAACAATATATCGAGGAGCAGTTTTGCACTGAAACGCAAAACTGGAAAGTTACCTCCAGCTCTATTTGAGAGTACAGTGTTGCATAGATTCTTTTAGAACATGTTTTCCCTACAGAGCTTATTAAAACTCGCACAGGCACACACAATGTGCTCACAGTGTAGATCATTACTCCTGAAAAAAGTCCCTGTTAGGATAAACTGCATGGGCTGAAAAATAGCAGACCTTGCACGGGCAATAGTCAATATCTGACCCGTCTCCTGCTCTTGATCAGTGCAGTGATTGGCCGTCCTGACAGACCGTCTGGTCCTGTTGAGCCTGAAGGGCCCAACCGTGCGAGACGATGTTCAGCGTGGGTTTGTCCAACTTCTCACACAGGGCTTGACTGAGTCAGATGGTGATTACAGACGACAGGCCCTCAGACGACTGGGGAGTGTGGACTCACAGGGATGTAGTTCAGATGAAGAAGACAGGCTGAATTGAGCTGGAAACATTCCGTCAAATGAATTTACCAAAGTTATCTTTGGTTTCCCGAATGCTCGAAGAGGAGGCTCATGGGGTTATTTGGATTCAGAGATGCCTGGTATCTGCTTTAGGTGTTTTTGTATCACAGCTGTAAGGAAGAGGTACGGTCAATCACTCCTCAAGTGATGTTGGCAACCTTCACAAGACAAAAAGGATATGGTGTTGAGAAAAGAAGCGCTTGACCCTTCTGTGGATGTTTAGCATTTATAGTCACGGAGGTCAAATATAACCAGCAATACCGCACAGTTTTCCGGCCAGATATGGAAACATGACTTTCCTATACATCCCCAATGTGTATCTTCAGAGCACATGTCGTAGCAACCCCTGTGCTCCTGTGCCAGAGAAGAGATTATGCCATATTATGAATAATATGAATAATAGATGCTCAGTGTGTCCTGCAAACAGCTGTATGTATGCAGAGCAGAGGTGTGTGACCTTTACACAACATAAACTCTGTAGGCCTTCAAAACACATTTTTTATTGTCAGAATAATTGGCATATTTGGAATGCTGCAAAAAAGGGACTTTGTTTTCAGAACAAGGTTGATTTTAACACTGTGAATAAAGGCATCAACAAATCATTTGGAATGAGTTCATCTCTATCTACGAGGACAATAAAACCACAAAAACGTCTGCGTTCAAGCGTAGGTTTGGTCTCAGCATTGGTAGGTACTAGCCGCCTGCCCCTTGTAAAAGAAAACTTGGTTCAGTAAAGTTGGTATTATTTTGAACAGGCAAACGTTATTAACATATATTAACATTTGTGTAACTTGGCATTGTTGGCCTACATCTTTAAGCTCAATCTTGTCTAGAGCATCTTGATGCTCACGCCATACAGATACATTGTTCAGCTACTGCTGGGACATAGTTCATCTCAACCTTTTTAACACAGTGAAACTCCGCTCAGCTTCAACTGAGGAAACATGCACAAACATTTCTGATCAGCTTCTCCACTTGGCCAAAGAGACCCCTTCGGTTAGTTAAAGCTTTCCCTAAACTGCAAATCCAAGCAATCTAAAAACTTTCTGAGCAATGAAATCATGTATTCATTAATACAATGCATACACTTGGTGATTTCCAATTTATAGCACTTTTTTACTACCTTCAAGTAATTCAACGTTAATTCAGCCAGTTAATATCACTTTGAGGTGGTGAAAAAACCTTGTATATCTCTTTTCTTTTTTGGTGGCATTTTCCTACCTTCAAAGCACAATAGGGTCAACAATATCAATGCTGAGACCAAACCAAAACTAATACAAGGATTTGTTATTTCCTGGTGTAGTAACTGATTGTGTCAGTCTACCGCCAGCTCTCTTTCTACGAGGGATGATTCCAAGAGTTTCAGGCTCCACCGCTTCAGCTAATGAAATGACAGCATCTTCTCGAGGACGCGTTGGAAAACTTGGAAATCAATTTTTTACTCGTCTGGGCGACGAACATAATTTAGATAATAATAAGAATGAGTTTGCAAATATATTGTACATTTTTTGTTCTAACAGGCAATTAAAATGAAAAAAATATTAGTAGCGACAATTGGGTCTTTCCCAAACTTTTGTCGTGACTAGTCCCTAGGGACCCTATGCAAACCTACACCCTTTGTTTGGACGGACCAAAGCGGTCCGTGAGGCCAAAAAGTTTGGGGACCACTGCTTTAGAGCATTGGTGACCTGTCCTATATGTCTCCCTAAAGTGCATTACATAAAGTATATTACCAACATAGGCTACAGCTTGCAACCATCCGGACAAAAGGAGAAAATAGATAAAGAAAATAAATGAATGCTTTTAATTAGGCTCCAGGGGGAAAATTGTGAGTTTAGTACTGGGAGTACACTTAATGGATGGAAAGAAAAAGAGAGCTTTATATTTCTTGCTAAGTGCCTTGGGACGGACGGACTGTGTAGTGTGTAAAGGACCTGTTTTCTTAATTTGATTGCCTTTTAACGCTTCCTGTGCCATGGACTTATGGTCTATCTCTCTTCTCTTTTATGTTTGCTGTTGACAGAGAGCTGATCTGGCAGTAGCTCCCCTTGCCATCACATACACCCGCGAGAAGATTATCGACTTCTCCAAGCCTTTCATGACGCTGGGTATAAGTATACTGTACCGCAAGCCCAACGGGACCAACCCTGGGGTCTTCTCCTTCCTCAACCCCCTCTCGCCTGATATCTGGATGTATATTCTGCTGGCTTACTTGGGTGTCAGTTGTGTGCTGTTTGTCATAGCCAGGTAACATGTTACTTCCAGTGATCACAACCTTACACACAGTCGGAAACATGCTTGGCTACCATCACCCGCCAATTTCTGTAATCACACGATCACCACACTAACTCTCTCACAGTAAAATCTCACTGTGTTCATTGACAATTCTAACACTGATCAACCTTCGGCTATCACAACTCAACGCCATTGCTGTGTAATTAATTAATTAATGCAGTTCAACCATGGAGGAGTTCATGAATATTGACCTTTTCCCATTAGACATTTACACACTTGGCATGGCTAAAAGGTTACTCCTGGCCTGCTTCTACATACTACTGCTTCCACATACATTGATATCAGTACACACCGGAATAAAGAACTCAAGACAGAGAGGTTGGAGGCCCGAAGAGCTGTTTGAGGGTTGTGTGTGTATGTCTGAGAGTGGCTGAAAGGTTATCCACTCATACAAATATGTGTGCAAAAGTGTGTGTTCGTGGGATGTCTCAAGCTGGTGTGAACACTGCTGCCCCTCTCCACCTTTCCCTCACTGTCCGCAATGTCTCTGAGGCCATGCTTTCTTTTCTTTTCTCTTGTTTCTTCACCTTGCTTGAAGCACAACTGTAAGTCAGATACAGCCTATCATTTGTTCTGCTTGTTTAGGTTTACAGTCTTTAATTACCTAAAAATAATTGTCTGCCGGTTTGTTAGTTTTCAGCTTTAGTCTTACCACCCTCGCCAAATTGGACACCCTGTAGGAAATGCAGGGTCAAGTGAGATTGTAGTGGTTGTAACCTTTGCATTGGATCAACTCCGTAGCTAAACATCTTTCGTGCTTATAGCAGCTGAGAATATGCAACTCATATATACCTTCAGACTGCTTTAATAAGCAGGGTATCAAAGCACACAGAGCAGGTGGGTGGGAGAAAGATACCGCAGTTCCATCCCCCTCCTGCTCCAAATGACATCGTCAGCGCAAGATAGCAGCACCCGCATCCAAGATATTTTGGTTTAATTTATGTACAGTCGGAGCAAGTGGAGTTCTTCATGTTAATATAGGTTACACCCTGCTTTGCTCTTTAGTTGCTTTAAAATACTTTATAACTTCTGCAACAAACTTGTCTCTTCACTGGGCCTGTCACCTGTAATTGCAGTACTCTTAGTGCCTTTGGAAGAAAATGAACAGTTTTTACTTCTTTGCTCTACTTGAGACTTAATGTGACCGAAGCACACTAAAATGGCCTATATGGCCTTTATATATAATATCGGGTGTTGTTTATAATGGACTAACACAGCTCTTTATTATTATTTGTTTTCTGTTTTTTTCAACTACATCACAGTTTTAGTTTAGTGATGGCGCTGACACTGAAAACGCTTTGACTGATGAAATGACACAACAAATTATTTCTACTGGTTTTCTTTACTTTGACAAAACCACTCAGTTGATGAAAATAGGCCAATGCCTTTTGAAGGCCCGCTCATTTGATCCAGTGCTCATGCTGCCATTTGAAGGGTGAAGAAAAAAAGAGGAAGAAAAGTTCTTGTTAACGGTAAAACTTTTGAGAGAAATCAGCTCTCTTGCAGCTGTGAACCAACAGTTTTAGCGTTAACACATTTCCTATGTTACTGGCAATATGATCACACAGGGTAATAAAAAGCGGCAACTGTCATCTAAGTTGGCTCAGAATATGCACCTATCTCAATTTAATATCATAATAAGTACGTGTTTGGGTAAGTGTATAAATTCCCCTCTCAATCTATTCCTTTTCTTCTCCTGCACACACCAACGCATGCAGGGCTACAGCAGCATGTTTTTGCTGTAGAGTGAAGTACATAACGGTCTCACAAACTTCATGAAATGAGAAGTCTAAAAGACAGATCAAGCGTTGTGAACGGAAGATGTGGCGATTACTTCTCTCCGTATTAACAAGAAGAGTTAGAAATGTTTAAAATGTATGAGGTATTAAATATCTTCCCACTTTCCTTCCCTCTGCCATGTGGCCATGCCGATAGTTTTATATTTGGTTCTTTCACTCCAATATATTTAAGGTGAATTAAGATTTTGAAGTCAAACCCAGAAATGCAATAGCCACATGGCTTACCAGAAAGAGTGTCTCTGTTCTAGATAATCAAAAATAATTACCTGTTCATGCTTTTCACCGAAGCTTATTGACAGTTTACCCTACCGAATGTTTAGTTCCTGTTAAACTAGAAAAAATATTCAAAATTACAGATACTGTATATATCAGGAACATCTCAAGAAACTAGTTGTGTAACTGCACAGAATAAAAAGGGATAAGAGAGTGAACAGATTCTTTAATAAAACCAGCATGGGATCAGCTAAATGTGAACCTTTAAATACTACCATATGATAATAATCATGGTTAAGAGAATAAAAAGGTGAATGCCTTACACACCTCGAAGACCAAACAACGTTAACACACACAACAGCACTAAAATAAGCAACAAAAAAACTAGCAATGGATACCTAAAATAAGCACTTGCCACCATTCACATTTCTACTATAGAATGCTACAGTAATGCTACAGGAATAGTGACTGAAGCAATTCCATATAGATGAAGGCATGTATCATAAAGAAATATTTGGGTCTAATAATTTAGATTCACATATTGTATTTGCAATTTAGATTAGATAGTTTTAACATAAACAAACGAATAGCCTCTATGTGATCCATATATCTGCCAGTCAAATGCAATTGAAACAAGTAAGAATGACATTTATGTAACAAATATGAATATATAAATATTTTAAATACACATTAACAAGTTTAGCATAAATATAGATCAATAGATAGATAAATAAAGTGAGAATGAAAAATGCACTATATATACACAGTAAATAAAATAGCAGAGTAAACATATTAAGTTAAGTGAAAGGAGTATGTACAGTGGACTATGTATTAAATTAAATTAGAACATGAATTAATGTATTTATGGTAAATTAAATTTACAATTTATAATTTGTTTTAAATTCATAACCATGGGTATACATTTAGTAGTAATAAAATTGATTAAATTGATACTCATAATGGTCTTATGCAATAAACTAAATTAACTTAAAATAAATGAATGTGCTTTCAATAAATAAACCAAATGTATTATGAAATTTATATCCACATATTTTAAAAATATTTTTCTATTTACACCACACCTATAATATTTAGCTACTACGATACAATTCATCAGAAAAGAACAGTCAGAATATTTATTGTATTAAGTCTTTATTGGTGTTTGGCAAACTTGAGCAATGTAAAAACTTTGCCAGCAATATAGTATCATAAAACTACAGCACTACACTACTATACCACAACACACTAACAGTACTATACTGCTATGCAACTACACTGCCCCACACTACATATTTTAACAAATGCGATCTCAGATGAATCGTCAAACATTAAAAACGACATCCAGCTGCTTAAAAAAAAAAGATAATTTATAGCACACTATGACCAAATCATATTACAGATGAATACATGAGACAAAGGTTGATGTATTCGTCTTACTTAATAATATGTGGGATAATGAGAGAAAGTGCTAACTAGTTTGCAATGTGACAGTCAATGTATTGATAATTGTGTGACACAATATTAACTGCATTCGTAAGACATTTATATACATTGACTACAAGCTATGAAGATGACAGCAGTTGTAACTCACGTTACATCCAGGCCGTGGTAAGATGACCATGAGAAGTCTGGTGTCACTTTTTCTTCTGAACCGTTCCATTTCCCAAAATATTGATATAAATTCTCATACATTTTAACAAATTGAATCTCACTTGTTTCCCAGTGAAGCATATTCAAACCATATACATGTCTTTTAATTGATTCAATTGACAATTGAATTTTTTTCCAAATTTGCTGATTTATGCTGCTTTTTAAGACATTTTAAAATAAAAACAAAAAAAATACTTACTACCATTATTATCATTTTTTGGTATTTACAAGGTATCTTTATTTACCAACATTTCTCCAAAACTAAACAAATTATATATGCAATAGCTTATAGGTAGGGTTGAACTTGGATTACATAGCCACAGGGTTACTGGTTGGGCTACTCGGCTCAGGTCAGGGAACCATCATGTTATGATGTTTAGAAGTCATACAGAAGTAAGATCTAGCTTTCCATTAAGAGGTAACAACACGGTCTGTTTACATGAGCCCAATCCCTCTCTGCTTTTTCTATACACATTAAAAAGCCTTATTTGTCCCATGTTTTTTAATTAAACCATGCATGGGGGTGAATTGCATTTCTTTCACCTTCTGTTCATATACGTCATTTGTATGTTAACTACTCACTTCACAAAGCTTGTGAGACCAAACTTTCAAGTACATCAAATTGACAGGCATTACTTCACAGTTCCAAGGTTACCTGAAGGTTTAATTATTGATTATATATACGTATATATTTATGTGTGTGTTCGTGTGTGTGTGTACACATTGCACCTTTTATCTATGTATTCTTGTGTTTGCGCTGCACTGTGTGACTGCCTGTGTGTATGCTTGGGAGACGGAACAAGGCGGCTGACATACACAGGGCTAGAGCTACAGCACCCTCTCTCTGCCATGGATAGGCCTATTTGACATGGGTGCAGAGCTAAAGCCACATGATTACTCTGTTGTACTGCCATTCTCCCCCATACCTCCAGTTACTGATATCAATGTCAGTTACATATGAAGATTTTTTTAAAGATAAGCACAGGTGTAACGAAGTGCTTGCCTCTTGTCACAAATTTGGAATATTTCTCTGTGTTCACTGTCTTTCTTTCGTCACATTAAAGTGTAATATCTCCATTCTTAAATAATAATACAGTTATGGTTTAGTGTGTGCTCATATTAAAGGCCCAACCTCGTCATGTGCTTAAAATTCTCCTCAGAATCCCTAGCAGACCTCTAAGTGGGATGTTCTGGATGTTGGTCTTTTTTTTTTTTTGCCTAACAGCTATAATTGCATGAGGCCTTTGATATAGATAGGTCCCCCCTACAATATGCAACTGGAAGTAATGTAACAACCAGCATGAATAAATAACAACCACCCTTAGTAAAGTTTCTTATGTAATGTTACTTAACATAACGGTGAGAAGGTTACGTAACAATATTGTTTTGAAAGTCGGAACATGAACATAAATTAATAGAATAACTGTAAAAAAAAAAGCTTATAAAGCGAGCATTTTTTTGTTGTCAATATACACAGATATACTACACCTGAGTTTGTGACCCATTCAGCAACCTTTGAACAATAATTTCGTAACAACCATAAACTACTATTACGTTTGGTTCCAGTCAGGACAATTACAGCGGTCTCCTGGGTGACAATTTGGTTGCATCTTTGTTCAGGATAGCAGCAGCATCCTGAATGAGCTCTTTTGGTGATATCTGTTGACAAAACATCACAACAGTCAAATTTGCTGCAAATATGAAATTGGACAAAATCTAAAACATATTAAAATAAAGCCTACAAACTTATAAGATCAGTCAGACGGTTAAGTTGAGTCAAATAAAGAGCGTCATCCTGTGACAGAGCAACCAGGCCATTCTGACTGGTGATTCATCTCCCCTGACATTGGTGTTATCATGCGTAGCATCACTAGAGGTTTCTGCTCGGTGACCCTGCCACCACAGACAGATAAAAGACTCATTGTTTCTGCTGTTGAATCCCTGGCTTTTTTTTCAGCACTGACCTTGCTCCAAGTTTGTCCCGCTGCAGCACAGATGATCTGAGATAATGTAAGGGCAGTGTAATTGGATCAAAGTGACACCAAACAGTGCTACAGTGAGAGGCGGGCTAAGCTGTGTTGTCTGTTGAAAGCGGCATTCGTTTAGCATTCTCTGACCCAAGCAGCAGTAGCAGTCCAGCCAGCCACTCCCACAACGCTGACAACTGCGCTCATCTATGTTCATGTCGAGCGGTAATTGGCTTTTCGCAACACGATTGGAGGAAACACACTCAGAGACCTCTGCGCAAGAGATTGGGTCACATTGTCACATTTGTCACGGCAAGGTTGCAGTTCAGCTGAACTCAATTTGACATTGCAAATTGACAAGCAAGCAAATCTGGGGCAAATTGAATGAGCGGACGGATTGATTTAAGGCAAAGGCTTCTCCTAAAGCAGAAATAAAGGGGATATTCTGAGGTCCTTGAGCTACACTACACAATATCCTCCTGTGTTGAGGGGTGAGATGGACTACCACTGTGAACCACATAATAATAGCAAAGCCCATTAGTCAATGACAGAATACAGTTATGATGCTGTCATTTTATCGATACATCCATGCATCGTCATCGAGAGTCCTGTTTGGTGTATTCAAGCCAATACTGCTGTATTATAACCAGAGGCCAGTCCAAACCATGACACGTAGTGGTAGAAGTTTCATTTGCATTATCATCTATGTAGATGTAACATCCACTCAAGGTTATTATTTTTGACCTCCACTTCAGTAAATGTACATTATGCATTGTCATTTGATTAGTTTAACCCGTGTGTCTGTTAAAGAGCTTGAGTTAAGATAGGGCTCCAGTTCTCCCTTGACTCCAGCTCAAACCAAACCAGGTCAAAATGCTTAATTGTAGACCAATCAACCTTTACTAATGTAATGTCATTTTTTCCCCCGTTATGAATAAATGAGAAATCTCTCTGCTTCAGGAGTGGTTCGAGTGAGGGGAGCGCCGGGTCTGACATGGGCATGATGGGAATGAACCGCTTGATCTGCTGAATATTAATGCTCCTCTAAGATTATAAGGATTATTAGTTTTTTTCTTGGCTGACAATGGAGTTATTTTCAGACGCCATCGATTAAATTACTGAGGGAACTGCCTTTGATATGAGCACTCCCACATGAGGAGCGCCCTTTGGAATATGAATATGGTCAAATGGAGCCCAATCTCTGGGTATTGTATCTTATTACTATTTTACAACATGAAGAATATTTAAAAGATATTAGCATTAAGGCTTTACAAGGTATTTTGTAAAGCTGACTAATAGACTATTTAGTAAATTAATCCCAATTCTCATTTTATGTTATAAACTTTAAATTTACTAATTCAGTTAACAACGTAACAATCCAAGGGTATGAACATGAAGACATAGCAATGCTTCTTGATGGGGGGGAAGTATCCTCAGGCATGATTGTCATTGTCTCATCTCTGAACATGACTATTTAACCTTTGTTTTCTCTCCCTGTCTCCCCAGATAGGATGACAAATCTCTTGGTCTCTTTTATGTTTTACTCTTATGTCTTTAAGAAACTGCAGTAAACTCAATATATATATACATATGTGTGTGTGTTCTCTGTTAATTGTCACAGGTTTAGTCCCTACGAGTGGTATAACCCCCACCCTTGCAACCCTGACTCGGATGTAGTGGAAAACAATTTCACCCTGCTAAATAGTTTCTGGTTTGGAGTTGGAGCTCTCATGCAGCAAGGTAGACGCCTCTGCCTGCCCCTCTTTTTCTAGCACAAGTCCCACTTTTTTGCTGGGGGTCCACATTGTTCTTTGACCAGGCCCATGGCCATGCATGGGGGCCTCTGTGCATGGTGGAGAGTCCAGCAGGACTGGACTAAATGGGATTTGAGTGATGTGATTAATGAATCAAGGGTGGCCTGCATGCTCCCCTTCCCCATGCTCCCTGACTCCTCCCCTCCCTTTCCCCACCTGTCTATGGACACAGGTAAGTGAACCCACCCAGAATGCCTGAAATGGATTGAATCTGTGTGATTGAAATGAGTATGTGAACTCAGCAGCTTCCACTGACTGTTTAGTTGTGTTTCCTTCCTCCAAACCAAAAGCATATCTTCTCAACTTCTCAAAAGTGTGGAATATTAAATGTTCAGATTCTTACAAGATAAAATCTCTGATTTCCTGGAGGATCCATAATTTACCCTTCAGATCCCTATCAGGTAGAAACACCTATTAAATTAAGACAAACAAAAGCAGACATATCTGCATGATTAGATTTCACCATGCCATCATTAGTGGTAAGTGAAATAATACAACTTTTTTCTTTACGTCTATAGATACGTCTAAGTCACTCTTTACGGCTAAGTCAATTTAGCAGCTGATAATTTGCTGATAATCTCCTGTTGGCTGGTTGCATGCTTACTTATGCTGCACGCTTACTAATATTCCCAAATATCTACTAACTTTTTGTCACAGATTTGTATTTCATTGAATGAGTTAGGATGCAGATAGTGTTAGAATTATTTATTTCAAAATCCAAATATATTTGCTTGTTTGAGTATTTTAGGAACACAGAATAAAACATGTTAATATTTAATTCCGATTGATCAAAGAAGTATTAAATGTACTGTAATTTAGCCACCAAACGTAGTCGTATTGGATATAGTCATAGAAGTTTGAGCCAGTAGAACAGATGTGTGCGGTTGACCAGTTGAGAAGATGTGGCTGAAGGCAGCGGGATTAGAATGAAGGAACACTCTGTGTCTGCATGGCACCGTGCCGGTCCGCACTGTAGAGAGGCTCCCCTGCCCGGCGGCTTGCCCCGCCCCCCAGAAAACTGTGGGATGTGCTTCTTTGGTCATGACGTTACCTTGGGTACATGACAGTCAGCCCCAACCAGGCTCTGTTCAGGGCGACTCCCGCTCTGAGTGGGTGGCTCCTCTTTTCTGTTGGGGTGTCTGAGGTGAAATAGGAAAGAAGCCCAGAGCTGGTAACAAGTTACACTTTGAAACAAAGCTGCATCCGATAGCCTGCCACGGGTGGAGCAGCAGAATCCACTGCTACTGATGAATATGTCTATGTGTAACATGCCTGCTTTCTTTACTTGTGTTCTTGATTGTGGTTTTATGAATGGGCCAAGTGGGTGACTCAGATACTTTACTAAAATGGGTCTCTGGTTTATGAACAAGAGACCCATTTTAATAAACGCAGCCACCAGAGTGTAAATGTATTCATCCCTCAGCCTGTTACACTGCTGAAGTGTCCATCAAGAATTGTCACCATACAGTGATCAGAAGTCAACTGATTCTGTCAGTTTAAAACACTGTTCTATCAATGTACTGTGAGTGTTCCATGTTGAAGTAGGATGATGATATGAATTTAAAACCCCATACTTAAAGCTACTTGTGAAAGTAAACATTTGTATTAATTGACTAAACGATTCACTGTTATCTTTGTAGTCTTCAAAATTCAATACACTGTGTAAAAGATTATCTCCCCCCCTTCGGTCGGTCCTTCCCTCTCCATTGCACTATCAATAGCGATGGGCTGGAGCTGCAGTTGGCTTCCTGTCTTTCTCTGCACAATCCCTTTACTAGACAGCTCACTCGGGGGACAGCGAGAAAGACGATTGATGAAAAGCGAATCTCTCATGAAAAGGAGTGGAGCACAGTTCTTAGCCTTACCCTTTAACTCCTTACCAGCTTTCCCTCTGAGTGAATGTACAAATTCCCAGCTTTCAACCTTTTCGGCTCAAGCATCTCCGCATTTGATTTGGATCTGAGCCAGAACCAACTTCCAACAGGAATAACGTGTACTTATCATAAACAAATAAATGAATGCTTCAAATCGTTTGAGTTTTGGCTACAATCTGCACTTATCCGTTTGAAAATACTCCAAACAACTCCAACAAGTTAGTAAATGTGCTTTGCAAATTTGTCCAGAAAATTTGCACACAGCGGTGCTTATGTATAGTTGTGCATATGTCTACCCATGCACATAACCCCCTTTCACATAAGGGTGAGCCCCTACCGAATGCCTAAAAACTTTTTCTGCTTTCTATCCATGGCACAGGTAGTCCATATAAGATGAGGTTTAGTTTGGTCAGAAGGATTAATTATCCGTAAGCCTTATGGCTGTAGAAGCTACTAACAGGCCATCACATGGCAGTTACTCCAGTTATTCCCTACAGTGTTGACAGTGGACTCTGTGGTTGAGAACCTCCGCTCTTGCACTCTTCTGGTATTAACAACCGTGCCATGAGCAATCTGTTTCAGTTGATTCAGGTTAACGAATAGATGCAAACAAACATTTAATGAAAATACTGGATTACTGACCATCATGGTCTCCCCACAAAGTACATTTTTACTCAATGTGTTAATATCTGTCCTAAGGACGAGTCAGTACAGTAAAGGAGAGCAATACTAACAATAAGACAAAATATCAATTACCAGCTCTAACCATGAAGCCACCCACTCTGCCCACTCTGTGTGTATGTGAGTGCGTGATCCAGGCAGCAGATGCAGAGGCCTAGCCCGGCCCAGCCCAGCCCTGACTGGCCTTAACTAGTCCGGTCTGGTTTGGTCTGGTCTGGCTTGGCCTGGGTGCTGCCCTCTCCCAAGCATAATGCCATACGTGGCCTCACCACATCCTCTGCTCCTCTCGTTCAGGATCTGAACTCATGCCGAAAGCCCTCTCCACCAGAATTGTAGGGGGAATCTGGTGGTTTTTCACACTCATCATCATCTCGTCCTACACGGCGAACCTGGCGGCTTTCCTCACTGTGGAGAGGATGGAGTCGCCCATAGACTCTGCTGACGACCTAGCCAAGCAGACGAAGATAGAATACGGGGTGGTAGAGGATGGAGCCACCATGACCTTTTTCAAGGTTAGTCACCTCTGAATACCATCAAACCAGCTAGAGTTCTTTCTCGTTCTTTATGGTCTGTGTCCCTGGGAAAGTTACAAAATGTGGGTATGTCAAGATATATTCTAAACTTCGAGATTGCGACGGGGCTATATTCATATATTAATAGTGCACTACATGACATGGGAGGGATTTTTTATTGGACAGAAAAAACCCTTCACCTCACACTAATTAAATATTCAGAGGATTAGCTCCTGTAGAGTGATCAAAAGCAAAAAGGGCACAGAGGGACAGAAAGAGGGGGAGAGATAGGAAGACGCGTAGCATCCGAAAGACAGCGAAGAAGACAGTGTGACACAGAAAAAATCTTTTGAAATATACGTTTTTGCACTTTAAGCTGGAAACAAGTTTTTGTTTCCAACTTCAATTTTAATATTTTACGTAACTTACTTGAAAATATGTTTACGAAACATAATGTAACCGTTAAGTGGACAAGTAAGTAGTAAGTAAGTAATGTGTAATTATTATACAAAACAAAGAACATTTTTAATAGAGTTTATATATTATAATGCAATTGATTTAAAACAAAGAACACATTTTTTTTGTTTGGGGGGGTTACAATGTCCCTAAAGAGGACCGAAGAGAGTGACAGAAAAAGATTGGGAACCACCGATGTAGCCATTGAATATTTGTATCTGATAAAATAACGTACTGTATAGTGTGACTATCAAACTCTCCACCACTTAAGCTGTGTGTGAGTCATAATGGCAGAATGTGGTTGTGTAAACTACTGTAGCAGGAACTTGCACAGGTGTGTTTAGTTCCGTCTTTCTGTGGACATATTAGGTCCGAGCATTAGAATTGCATCCCTGCGAGATGCAGACAAAAACTGCACGTGTGAAGTTGAGGTAAGATAAGTTATAAAAAAGTGTGTTGTACGTACAAGGCTTCCAGGAGCAGTAGTCAAGGGGCTATTAACTATTGACTGACTAATGAATCATTTCAGTAGCAATTCACACAACTAACGGGAGTAATACTTCATGTGATTAATAACTGATGTGACTAAAGTACCATTAGGATTACTTATGGGACAAATAATCAAATTCACTTCAATATTTGTATTGGGGCACAAATAATGGTTACATTAACAATAATACCACATGGATATTGAAAAAATGTTTTTTTTTCTGTTTTACCTCACACAAGTTCAGGGACGTAACCACGCATCCTTTTGGGGGGGTCGTACTCAATACTGCGTATTTGAAAGTGGCACGTGTACGTGGAGCGTGAAGGGAGTGACCGCAGGAAAAGCGGAAGCCATGGAAGCGAACAAGTCCTGGAGGGACGGCAGATTGCAGCCGATCACCCTCTCTGCAGAGCGGATGACACGCTGCAGCCTGCCCTTGTCCTTGGTTGTGGCTGCAGCGTACCAGACGGTGATGGAGGAGCAGAGGATGGACTCGATGATGGCCGTGTAGAAGTAGACCATCATCGTCCTAGGCAGGTTGAATTTCTTCACCTGCCTCAGGAAGAACAGCCTCTGCCGAGCCTTCTTGGTGATGAAGCTGATGTTCAGCTCCCACTTGAGGTCCTGGGTGATGATGAAGCCCAGAAAACGTAAAGAATCCACAGCAGTGACAGGGGAGTCACACAGGGTGATGGGGAAGGTGGGACTGCGTTCTTCCTGAAATCTACAACCGCCTTTACTGTCTTTAGAGCGTTGAGCTCCAGGTTGTTTTGGCTGCACCACAACACCAGATGGTCAGACTCCCACCTGTAGGCGGACTCATCCCGATCAGAGATGAATCCAATGATGGTGGTGTCATCCGCAAATTTCAAGAGTTTGGTGGCTGGAGGTGCAGCTGTTGGTGTACAGCAGGGGTCGGGAACCTATGGCTCGCGAGCCAGATGTGGCTCTTTTGATGATTGCATATGGCTCGCAGATAAAACAAAATATTCTCACTTGTTTTAATCCATCCATCGATTTTTCACTGCGCATGTCCTGTTCAGGGCTGCAGGAGCAATTGTCCATTATTTTAATTGGATGATACTGGCCTACGTTTGCCGTTGCTGGGTAAAACAGGTAAACGCCCCCTTTTGAATCAGTCTGAGACTGCGTCTGCTCGGTCATTAGCTCAAAGCTAACCCTTCGACGAAGAAGATGGTGAAAAGAAAAAAAGACGACGGGTATTGTACATTTCAGGACGAATGGACCGAAGAATTCGCCTTTGTGGAGAGAGCGGGTTCTGCGGTGTGTCTAATTTGCAATGACAAAATTACATCGTTGAAACGGTCGAATGTAAAGCGGCACTTCGACACGCGCCAAAACCATTCACAGATGGCGAGTATGCTAAAACGTTCATGCTTTTAAAATATATTATATGGCTCTCACTGAAATAAATTTCCAAATTTTTTGCTTTCATGGCTCTCTTAGTCAAAAAGGTTCCCGACCCCTGGTGTACAGGGATAAGACCAGAGGGGAAAGAACGTCAAAGAACATCAATACATGTGTTCAATAAAAGATTCAACACAGGGCCTTAGGATTAAGTTTTACATCAGAACCTCTCCGGGTTGATGTTCTACTTAATACTCAATTGCTCCAAATTTGCAATCGATGTGAGTACCAACAACGTATTTGGAAGCTTTTGGTTCCTATGTAGTGTTGGGGCCCAGACAGATACCAACTTTCCCCTACTGTTCCAGCACTGCTTTTAAGATTATAAACAATAAACACAAACATTTTTCAAGTGTGGCTTGGAATATTCCATTACAAGATGGTCACTAGTTCTAAACTCAACTACCTATTGAGAGTTGAGAGACCTATTGGAACATTTTTCTGGATTGGTCACCAATCGCTGGATCGACAGATTGTCAAAGACTGAAGTACTTTGAAATGTAAACTTCACACACGTTGAAACCCAGGTCCTTCTGGCAATGAGGTGACAGTCCTAACCACTGAGCCACATTGTCACCATGATCCAATACTGCACCTGTACTGTACCTTTTTACATTACATTACATGTCATTTAGCTGACGCTTTTATCCAAAGCGACGTACAATAAGTGCATTCAACCATAGGGTACAAACTCAGGAGAACAAGAAACAAGAAAGTGCAATTTCCTCAAATAAGCCAATTTACAATTTGCTATAGATGAGTGACGTTACAAGTACAATTTAAGTGCTACAATTTGTTAGTCTTTAGTCGAGGTAGAGTCTGAAGAGGTGTGTCTTTAGTTTGCGGCGGAAGATGTGAAGGCTCTCTGCGGTCCTGATGTCTTCAGAGAGCTCGTTCCACCATTTCGGCGCAAGGACAGCGAAGAGTCGAGACCTAGTCGAGTGTTTTGCTCTCAGTGAGGGAGGGACGAGTAGTTTTGCAGATGCAGAGCGGAGAGTACGGGTTGGGATGTAGGGTTTGACCATGTCCTGGATGTAAGCTGGACCCGATCCATTCACAGCATGGTACGTGAGCACCAATGTTTTGAACTGGATGCGGGCGGCCACCGGTAGCCAGTGAAGAGAGCGGAGGAGTGGAGAATGTGGGAGAATTTCGGAAGGTTGAAGACCAGTCGAGCTGCTGCATTCTGAATGAGCTGCAGAGGTCGAATGGCGGTGGCAGGGAGACCAGCCAGGAGGGAGTTGCAGTAGTCCAGGCGGGAGATGACAAGAGCCTGAATCAGTACCTGCGCTGCCTTCTGAGTGAGAAGGGGACGTATTCTCCTGATGTTGTAGAGCGTGTATCTACAGGATCGCGTTGTCGCGGTGATGTTGGGAGTCAGGGAGAGTTGGCTGTCGAGTGTGACGCCGAGGTTCTTAGCGGTCAAAGTGGGCGTTAGTATGGAGTTCCCAAAGTTGGCTGTCAGGTCCTGGGTAAGCGAATCTTTTCCGGGAAAGAGAAGTAGTTCAGTCTTGTCGGGGTTGATTTTCAGATGGTGGGCGGACTGAGAGATGTCAGTTAGACAGGCAGAGATCCGAGCCGCCACCTGGGTGTCCGAGTGAGGGAAGGAGAGAATTAGTTGGGTGTCATCGGCATAGCTGTGGTAAGAGAAGCCATGCGAGCGAATGACAGCGCCAAGACAGTTGGTGTAAAGCGGAAACAGGAGGGGACCCAGCACGGAACCCTGAGGAACTCCAGTAGTAAAAGGACAAGGTTCCGACACAGATCCTCGCCAGGTTACCCGGTAGGTGCGGCCGTCGAGGTAGGACAAGAGAAGGGAGAGAGCAGAGCCTGTGACACCAAGTTCCTGAAGGGAGGAAATAAGGATCTGGTGGTTGACCGTGTCAAATGCAGCAGAGAGGTCCAGAAGGATGAGGACAGAGGAGAGAGAGGCGGCTCTAGCAGTGTGGAGTTGCTCAGAGACAGCAAGGAGAGCAGTCTCTGTGGAGTGGCCTGCCTTGAAACCTGACTGGTGGGGGTCAAGGAGGTTGTTACAGTGGAGATAAGAGGAGAGTTGATTAAATATAGCACGTTCAAGGGTTTTGGACAAAAAGGGAAGAAGAGAGACCGGTCTGTAGTTGTTTTCTTCAGAAGGATTGAGGGTAGGTTTCTTCAGGAGGGGGTTGACTCTTGCCTCCTTCAGAGAATTGGGAAAACAGCCAGATAACAGAGCGTTGTTGATGAGACAGGTGAGGAACGGAAGAAGGTCAGGTGCGATAGATTGTAGAAGATGTGATGGAATGGGGTCAAGAGGGCAGGTGAATTTGGTTAGGAGAGAGGGCGGTGAAAGAGGAAAGTGAGGGCGAAAGAGGTGAGGGCGGTGCGACGCGAGAAGTAGGAGCGTATGTCAGCTATTTTCTTGGTGAAGAAGTTGACCAAGTCTCCCCGGAAGAAGGGTGGAGGGGGGAGGAGGGGTTCGAGGAGATTGGAGAAGAGTTTTTTGGGGTTAGAAAATGAAGATTCGATTTTGGATTGGTAGAAAGAGCTTTTGGCAGCAGAGATAGAAGCAGAAAACGAGGAGAGGAGAGATTGAAATTTAAGCAGATCGTCAGGTCGTTTATATTTACGCCATCTCCTTTCCGACGCT